TGTGTGTGTGTGTGTGTGTGTGTGTGTGTGTGTGTGTCTACATTATCGTATACTTATTCGAGTAAGATGCACACAATACTAGACATATATCATATATTATAAACAATATACTTTGATATATACCAATACATTTACATCAAATTGCAAACAAAAACGTGCAACAGATTCACGAATCATCGTAAAATAAAATGTCACTATAAACCTACTGTTCACAAAAATATAAATTGACATAGGTTACACAGACAGTCTTTAAAGCTAACAGGCACACATCCGACATGTACAACATAAATAGATTGTAATAACTATGAATAGATGAAAAAAAGGAGTCAGTTTTTTTTGCCTGCATTAATTCCTTCCTTTTCTGTGGATGGTTTCCCTCTGTCTCCACGGCTGTGTTTAGCGTTAAATGCCCCTTTCTCCCTTTCGAATTAAACTGCAGGCTGAGCCGCCGGAGCAGGCTGGGCCGCCGGAGCAGGTTGGGCCGCCGGAGCAGGCTGGGCCGCCGGAGCAGGCTGGGCCGCCGGAGCAGGCTGGGCCGCCGGAGCAATCTCGACCACTGGAGCAGGCTTGTCTTGAGGAATAGCGTTGCCTGCCTTAGCGTTGGCGTCTGCGATCTCCCTCTGCGCCGTGGCGAGCTGTTCGCTGAGGTCCTTCCTGGTGGCTTCGAGGGCTCCTACTTGCTGCTGCGCCGACTGGAGCTTCCCCTCGAGCTGCTTCCCGTCCTCCGTCAGCTGGTGGATCCTCGCGTTCAGGGTCTGCAAGAGGGAGAAGCGTCAAGGGAAGGACCTCAAGCCATTTCACAAGGATCGGAACACGACCGAAAGTAAACACCGTATTGGCAGACGGACTTCGATAGTTAACGAGGAGAAATGCCAGTCCGTATGTAAATGACGTAGTAAATAGAAAAGAAAAATTGCAATTCCATTATTCTACCACCACTCACATCAATTTCCTCAGTCATTTGCTGGTTCTTGACGGCTTGTTCTTGCAACTGGTTCAGTTCTTTCGCTCGTGTCTCGGCTTCGCGTGTGAGCTGCGGAGAAATACAATTAATTTTCTCTCTTTTTTTTTACCATGGTTGTTATATTTAACTCATTAATCATTTTTTTACAATTTCTTTTGCGGCTTAATATCCTCCTCTCATGTCTTCACTACCATGCTTCCTTTTTATAAGCTACATGGACCTGGTACGCCGATTCAGACAACAGTGTCTTAGCACGATCAGCCGACGCAGCGGACTCAATAACAACCCGCTTTGTGTGGTTTGAAGTATCGTGTCTCAATACTTCATCTTTCCCTTTTTCCCCTTTTATATGACTTATGATTCTGTTGCTAAAATACACGGCTTCAAATCTCCCAGGTTCTCAGAGAAGCAGGGATAAAATCAAAGGAGGGTCTTGTGGCTTCTAAAATCCCTGGCTTCTTATATCATTCATTTACGACCTCCTGTTGAACCTCATTCCTCCGACACACACTCAAATGAAAGGAAAATACAAGGATTATCTTGTGTAGGACATTGTCAAAGAGGGAAATGCATCTTAAGCAGTTCCTTTCTGTCCTAATTCTAACCCCAGGATGCTGATGCCATTACTCAGTCACAGCTGAGTTGGCTGAGACTCATCGGCGATTGCGAAACTAGCATTCTGCCACCGAGATAAGCTTCCTTTATATCATATTTCCTCATATAACATATCACTAAACCAACTCATGCTTGGCTGCAACTTTAGTGACGACTAAATTGCCATAATTAAACGTGACCTCTTTCCACAAGTATATCTGAAGCTGGAGTTTCTTCCTAAATATATCTCTTTACTCAACTCTTTCTGTTTCTCTCTCTCTCTTTCGCTCTCTCTCTCTCTCTCTCTCTCTCTCTCTCTCTCTCTCTCTCTCTCTCTCTCTCTCTCTCTCTCTCTCTCAATTGAAGATTACCACAAACTAAATTATGCAAAAATAACATTAACACTCGACGTTTAAAGATGAAGAAGAAAAACTAATGATGAAATTTATATAAAAAAATACTGTTTATCGTACAGATGGAAGAGCAAATAAGATTGCAATAAACAGGGCAAATACACAAGCTGGAATCGGGAAAGATACTGAAGTTTGTCTCAAGGATATTAATAAATCAAAATATCTGAAAGACGCACGGGGATCCTGCTATGTAACCCTTTCACCAATGTTGTACAAAATTTTCATAGTATGCCTTGGTGATTTTTTGTTAACATATCCTAAACCCAAGTCAGTTTGATAATCTCCAAAAAGTAACTTAATACAATTTAAGCTAACATAACTTCACCTAACCTTTCCTAATTGAAGTTAGTCTAAGCAGCTCTTAGAGACGAACTTATAGCGATGTAATCTATATTCAGGATTTAGTATGCTTCCTTAAACCACGACACTTTCAGGAAGTAAGAAACAGAATGAGAATGTTTAAAATACTCATAAAATGGACACTGACTCTAAGACAGTTTTTGATACAGGAGGTGATGTTTTATATAAT